AGCCGCAGTGCAAGGCAGCTGTTTTTGAACCCCCTCCTCCTTCTGTCTCCAGACCCTGGTCGACAGGAATTCCTCTATGCCGCCTGGAGTTCCGGTGGAATTTATGGGCCCTCCACAGGCAGACAAACAGAGAAGGAAAACATCTCTCTTGAGTCCCACTCAAATCAAAAATCTGATTTCCGCTCAGCCTAGAGGGGCCCAGCTCAGCTTAAACCTCTTCAGGCTGGGACAGTCACTACTTGCCCAAAGTCTCCAGGACCCAGCTTTTTTTCTTCCCCTTCTTCTACCTTTTTATTTCCTCATTCTCTCAGAAGCACAGAATGTTAGAATTGGAAAAGACTAGAAGGGCCTTTAGAGATTATCTAGTCTAACTACTCTGTTTTATAGAATGAGGTCATCAGAAACCAAATGACTGGCCCAAGTTCCCTCAGTAATTTAAAAGCAGAGCCAAGGAACACAATGGCAGCCTCCCAGAGAGAGAGAGAGAGAGCAGTAGGATGGGAGTCAGGAAATTAAATCACCACACAAGAATAAGATGCTATGAAGGGGTCAGAATAACAGTTTTATCCCCATTTTACAGATCAAGAAGCTGAGATTCAAGGAAGTTAAGTGATTTGCCAAAGATGTGTGATTTGTAAGGATTAGTGATAATAGTTAAACTTCCAGCACCCACATACTCTTTCCGGGGGTTTTGGGAAGCCTTTGACCCCTGAGGAAGAAAGGAGTAAAGGCAAACTCAGCCTGTTTTCCCTGTTGGGCTTCCGGTCTTGTCTTGAGTCTTGGGATTTGGGGGAAGGGATGAAAGTGAGAGTGTAGCAGCCACAGGGGCAAAGAGCCATCTTGACAAGGACCAGACAGGAAAGGGAATTTCTTAGTAATAATTCATCAGCTCAGGAAGCAGAGGGAAGCCAGTTGTGTGATTCTGACCTTGCTGGGCTTCAGGGAGGGGAGAAGTATGGGGGACCAAGGGCCATTCATTGGCTATGTTGAGGAGGTGGAAATTAGGCCTGGCAGGGGGCAGTGATAAAGGAGAAGCCTGGACCAAGTGTTCTAGACCTCTCTGGCAGTATCTAGAATTAACTTTAATCATTAATTGCTCACCCACAAGTGCCAGCCTCAGCGGCCAGTGGATACTGTGACCCCCTACAACCAGAGAGGCCAGAGAGGATGGCATTAATTTCTCTTTTTTCAGGCAGGGTGAGGGGCAGCCTAAGCCCTGGAGAGGAGAGCCAGAATCACCATTTACACCAGTCAATTAATTATCTAGCATTTTATTGGGAGGCTGCACATCAGAAAGGGCACTGGTCTGGCAGAATCAGGACACCTGGCTTCTGGTCTTGGCCTTGTCCCTAGACTGTGTGACCTTGGGCAAACTATTTCTTTCTGAACATCAATATCACTTATACATCAAACAATGTAGTTGACCTAGGGCATCTCTAAAATCCTTTCCTCCCCTAATACTCTATGATTCTAGTTCATAGGATAATAGATTTAGAGCTAGGAGTATGAATGAATGAATGAATCAATCAATCAATGAATTAATGAAAAGCATTTATTAAGTGCCTACTAGGTGCCAAGCACTGTGCTAAGTGCTGGGGAGCTAAACATAAAATCCATATTTTTTTTCCTGCCTTCATGGAACTTACATTGTAACAGTGTAGGAGACAGATACAATACATACAGGAAAATCAGAGGTTATTTTGGTATGGGAAATCAAAGGGATGATGAATGGAGGAATAGGGTGGTTGATTGGCCATCTCTTTCCAAAGCAGAGGTAGTGTTGATTTGATTACAGTTCCCAGAGCAAAAAGGAGAAGGCTGAGAGGGCACAAGGTTGGGGGCAAAGGTCAGGGTAAGAATATGGCCTGGAGGTAGTGGGCCCAAAGAAGAGAAATAATGAAATGACAATGCAATAAGAATCTCTTATGAGCCACTTTCAAAGCTATTTCACCGTCCTAGACTAACAGGGATTCAGTACAAGAAGATTAGTAGTCTTCTTCTACCTTCATGCTTAGCACCCAAGGAGATTCAAAATGGATAAAAATGTGTAGACCTGCTGTCCTCAGATAGAAGAATAGAGGCTAAATGTTTGCTGATTTATTTTCTGGCTGGAATTGATGTCAAATTCCTATCTCCCCAATTATATTTTATATTATAGCCCTTTAAACACTACATGTTTAGGCCAAATTGGACTTTTAGCTCTTCCTTCCCTTAATTTGAAAGAACTTGTTTCTCTTCCTTGCATTCCCACAGACAGCCCCAGCTTGGGCTGAAGTCCCTGATCTTTTTTCCAAGTGTTAAAATACTTCTCTTCCTTCAAGACACAGCTCAGGTGGCCCCTTCTAGGTGAAGTCTTCCCCTTTCTTTCTGTGTAACCATGGGTAAGTCACTTAGACCTCTGGACCTCAGTTTCTGTTCAGAAACTCTGTTCAGTTCATCTGTAAACTGAAGGGATTGGCCTTTTTTTTTTTTTTTGGCTAGGCAATGGGGTCAGTGACTTGCCCAGGGCCACACAGCTAGTAAGTGTCAAGTGTCTGAGGCCTGGGATTGGCCTTTTAACATTCAAGGGGTACCAATGCAGCACTCTGATTGTCTACATGTGATTCATCACTTTCACATGACCAACCCATCTTCTTTTCTGATTATGCCTTTCCTGGATGATGTTTTTGGGGCCATTTCCACTTAATAAGGTGCAGCCTACTTATGCTAAGAAGAAACCAGAAGGCTTAATAAATGTTTGTATTTAAAACCTCATTAAAATGCAAATGTCTTTTTTCTCTGCCTTGCTCCCATAAACCTATCAGCTCTCAGGCTGAATTGGCTTGCAGTGAGGAGATGAGGAGAATGACAGAGCAGTGGAGGCCCACTTGGAATCCCTGGGCAGCCAGAGGTCTGGCATGGACTCCTATTAGTGAAAGAAAGGGTGTGAAAGATCCCAAAGGGCATCTCCCTTATGCTTTTGACACCAGCTTGGCTTGCCAGACGGGGGAATCTGAGGTAAGATTCTGCTGGGGCCAATTTAATGGAAACAGGTGGGAGATAGGATACATGAGTTCTTGAGAAAGGATGGCATAAAAGACAGAGTCCTGGATTGTGAATCAGAGGAAGCAGGCTCCAATTCCAGCTCTGTTGTTTATTACCTCTGTGAGTTTGGACAAGTCTCTTAATCTCTCTGAGTCTTGGTTTCCTGATCTGAGGAATGAGAGAGTTGGAATAGATTGCCTTTCCTTTCTAGTTCTAAAGCTATGATTTATTCCAGGTTGAAGGGCCTGCCTAGTCAGTTACCCAGGGTGCCCCCCATGTATGGATATTTTTTTTCCTGCAATGATTAAGTTTTTCTTTCAAAATATAGCCCAAAGGGCTATAAAGCTGTGCATACCTTTTGATCCAGCAATACCACTGCTAGGTCTATATCTGCAAGACATAAAAAGAGGGGGGAGGGACCTATTTGTACACAAATGTTTATAGCAGCTCTTTTTGCGGTGGCTAAGAATTGGGAATCAAAGGGATGCCCATCAACTGGGGAATAGCTGAACAAGTTGTGGTATATAAATGTGATGGAATATTATTGTGCCATAAGAAATGATAAGCAGGCAGACTTCATAAAAACCTGGAAAGACTTACATGAACTGATACATAACGAAGTGACCAGAACCAGGAGAAGGATGTACACAGTAACAGCAATATTGTTTGATGAAGAATTGTGAATCACTTAGCTATTCTCAGCAATTCAATGATTCAAGACAATCCCAAAGGACTCACGATGAAGCATACTGTTCACATCCAGAGGAAAAACTGATATTATTTGAATACAGACTGAAGCATGCTGTTTTTCACTTTCTTTCACTTTTTTCTTTTATTCAAGTCTTCTTGTACAAAATGACTAATGTGGAAAAGTTTTACATAATTGCACATGTATAACCTAAAAAAAAATCTTAGTCTAACCATCCACATAGGAAAAACCAAGCAAAAAAAAAAAGTTTGTCCTAGATTATGACGTGCAATTCAATGGTTTCCATTTAAAAAATGTCAAATACATATATTTACATACCTACATATAGTCCTACATATATCCTGATATACTATATATATGTATATACATAATGTCATGTATATGTTGTGTATATATTATGTATATGTTATGTATACATATATATTTATATAAATATATATACACATATAGGATAGGCATTGCAGATGGTCAGATTAGCTGGGCCTAGAATTGAATAGGAGGAGAGCAGTTTGGGTGATATTTTGAAAACTGCCCAGCATCTTCAGCAGCCCCAAGCAATTTCCAAAGCCCATCTTTTTAAGCCCTGGATGCTATATGGCTACAATTTATGGGAACTTGTGGTTTTCCAATAAGCAAAATCGCAGGTGAACTAAAGAACAAAAGAGACAAAAACAAGGAGGAGCATGCAGAGATGGGCAGCATGTTACCAAATATGATCTGCCTAGTAGAAGTTGCATAAAAGACCTTACGCATGACATGTATGACAGAAAAAGGAAGTAGGCAGGTGAGAGTGAGGAATAACAGAGAAACAGCCCAAGTTTTATCCTGGTATATGGTATACATAATACATATATATAAAAACCTAGGGGGAAACCTCCAGCATATTGGGCAGATCCTCAGTGGTGGATCTGTTACCAAAAGACATAGTGTGAAAAAGTTGTTATCTTCAATAGGGGAGGGAATACATATCTGAGAACTAAGTATGCAAAGTCTCTATTACTCAAAAAGGTGAGGACTGATATGTTATGATGAAGAGAGCTCTGGACTGGGAATCAGGTAGCCTAGGTTCTAGTCCCGGAGAATTTAGGCTCGTTATTTCCCCTCTTTGGGCCCTAGTTTCCTTCTCTGTAAAACGGAGTAGGGTGGGTTATCATCATCAACAAGAAGCATTTCTTCAGTGCATCTCATGTGCCAGGCACTGTGCTGAGCTCAAGAAATACAAAGAAAGGCAAAAACACAGCCCCTGACCTCAAAGAGTTCACTTTCTGATGGGAAGAGACAACATGCAAATAACTATACACATGCAAGATACAGATAGTGTAATTAGCACGTAATTTCAGAGAGAAGGAGCTTAGCAGTGGGGGCACCGCCTTTTGCAGAAAGTGGAATTTGAGCTGAATCTTGTAGGAAGCTAGGGAAGCCATGAGACAGACTTTGGCGTTGCTTTCAGCTCTGACATGACGTAACGTGACATAACATAACACAAAAGGTTAATGGATCGCCGGTGCTCCCTTAGGAATATATTTGAATTTTAGTAGGACTCAGATCCACCACCAAGATATACGGACTAAGAAAGTAAATCAGAGTGTTGGTAAGATCGGGAGGAGGCACCACTGTGCATGCCAGCTCTCTTCCCAGACCTTCGGCCCACGGACACAGCAGCTGATCAGGAGTGCGGCCCGAGATAGTGGCAGCTGTGGGAGTTCTGCGGAAGCCCCGGTCCCTGGGTCTGCAGCCTCCAGACTCCACGAGGTGTCCTGTCTCTTTGGCTCCCCGAGAACCGCTATGCGCGTTGGAGGCGGGGGGTGGGAGGAAACCCGAGTCTTCCGATTGGGCGGTCATCGAAATCCTTCGTAGCCTCATTGGTTATTAGGGGAGTCGCCCTCAAACTTCGGCAGCTCCCAGACCTTAAATAGTTGTGCCGGTGGCTCTTTGCCTTAGAGCGCACGCTGCGCAGTCCCGAAATCCCTACACGCAGTTCAAAATTGGGGTCTGAGCTGGCGGCCCCGCGCCGAAGCCCCTCTAGGTGCGGTACTGCTGAGCTCCCCTCTCCGTCGACGAGGTCCCTTCCTCCTGGGGCCCCGCCCCCGGTAGCCGGGACGGCACGGCACTGAGAGGGTAGGGTCCGAAGCAGGACCAGACTCCCCCGTCCCCATGGCATTCGCCATGCTGCGCCCAGTGGCCGCCCACGTGCTGTACCCCGACCTCAGCCTGCTAAGTGAGGACGAGGAGAACCGCAGCGAGAGCGATGCTTCGGACCAGTCGTACGGCGGCTACGAAGGGTTGGAGCCGGCTCGGCGGCGGGCCGGGAGCGGGGCCGGGGGCGGTGGCGGCCGCCGAGCCGGGGCGGGTGGCGGCGTTGGAGGCGGCGTGGGGCCGGTGGTGGTGGTGAAGCAGAGACAAGCGGCTAACGCTCGGGAACGGGACCGGACCCAGAGTGTCAACACGGCCTTCACGGCGCTGCGCACGCTTATCCCCACCGAGCCTGTGGATCGCAAGCTGTCCAAGATCGAGACCTTGCGCCTGGCTTCCAGCTATATCTCTCACCTGGCCAACGTGTTGCTGCTGGGCGAAGGCTGCGACGACGGGCAGCCGTGTTTCCGCGCGGTCTGCGGACCCAAGGGCGAGCGCAGCGCATCGGGGAGCGGTGGTGGAGACACTCGACAGCAGCCGCGCACTATCTGTACCTTTTGCCTCAGTAATCAGCGCAAGGCGGTGAGTCCTGGAGGCCAGTGAGCGGGTGACTGGGAAGGGAGGCTCAGGCTGAATTTGTGGAGAGATTTCTCAGGCTCAGGGCCTTACCCACTGACGGATGTTGAAGGCAGGTCTCCCTCCCCACGGTTCTAAAAGCCAGAAATTCCGCCCGCTCTCAGCCTCCAGCCAAGGGCTGGAACCATAGGATGTCAGAGTTGGAAGAGGCCTGAGAGATCATTTAGTCTAACCCCCTCAGTCTTTCTCTGAAGAGAAGTGACTTGTCCAAAGTCTGTCTGAAGTCTCAGTCTCAGAGCTGAAATTAGATCGTAGGTCTCTTGACTCCCCAGTCCAATATTTCTTTTTTGCTTTTTTTTTTAAACTGGCATGTTGTTTTCCATTTCTAATGAGAGAGAGCTGGTGGCAAATGTGGGATTTGTTTCCCTGAGAAGTGGCACAGGCGGGAAATACAAACAGATTCCATGAGGGCTTGCTAAATTCCTTGATGACATATCCCCAAGGAGTTATTAAAAGGGAGCTTCAGAGGGTTGCATCCTATCTTTATGCTGTGAAGTTGACCGGAAGGGCAGCTGGACCCAGCCCTGACCTTCCTCGATATGCTACTCTTTCTTGCCTCTTGTCAAAGATAGAACAGGAAGCCAGTGGCAGAGCAGTGAGAGTAAAGAGATGGGACCAAAAGCACTTCCATATCTTCACCTCACCCAAATTTGTGAGCTTTGAGTCCCCAAGGAGAGAACAGCCTGGCCTTAAGGAGCCAAGATATTAGCTAGGCATGAGGTTTTCCCTTCACTTGTTCTAAGTGGAGAATGGGGGTGGGGGTGCAGTGTAGTAGATGGCCAGGAGACATAGTTAGCTTAATCAGTAAGCACAGGAATCCTACTGTCATGGGTTGAGAAGATTGTTGAATGTCATGTATTCACCCATTTTACATGAGGAGGCACTGAGGTGAGTGGGGAGTAGTGCTTGCATCTTCTGATTCTTAGAGTTCTTTCCTCCTCATGCAATAGTGCCTGAATGAGTTCTCATTGCATGATTAGGATATAAGATATGTAAAAAGATAAACCTACAAAATCCACCTCCAATTCCCAGCCTTAAAAAAAACAGTGCAGAAAACTTGCCCTATCTGAGAAAAATTTCAGTAACCATAACTTCTATTATAATGTGAGAAAGTCCCTAGCCCAGAAGAGGAAAAATGTTTTCTCTATCAAATAGCTAGTTAGTGGCAAAGCTAGAACCTTAAAAAGGCAGGATTAATTCTCTCCTTTAGGAAACATGGGAGTGCTGGGTAGTTATAGGACTAGACTCAGAGATTCCCTGTGCCACCTTAATTTGAGAATAAAAATTAAAACATAAAAATAAAAATTACAACTCCTATCTCTGTGGCACTTTAAAGTTTCCAAGTCACTTTCCTTACAGAAGTTCTTCCAAGTAGGGAGTTTGAGGTTTTGGTCCCTGTTTTATAGAACAAGAAAAGGAAGCTCAGATAGGCAAGTGAAGCGACTTTTCCATGGCCATAAGGTTAGTAAAAGGTAGAGCTAGAATCTGAACCCAGATCTTCTGATTCCAAGTCTAGTGGTCTATGTGCTCTGCAGTAAGGGTTGTTAGACTCTTCAGCTCCTCCAACTGTGGGCTCCTGTAATGATACCTGCTAGGCTTTCTACCTCCTCTACCTAATTCCTGATCTCTCTCTCCCAGTTCTCATTTACTAAAATAAGAGGAGAGGGTCTCTCTAGTGCCCTACTGGTTCCCCCTCCTCCAGATGTGTTCTTTGACCCTCCTGAACATCCCCCTCCCCACACACACACATACACACACACACTCAGTGAGGTTCTAGTGACTGGGATATTTTCCCAGGGAGGGAATAAGAGTTTAGTCAGCATAGCTGTTTCTCTAGGCAATGGTTCTACTACTCTGCCTTGTCAAGGTGAGACATCACTTTAACCTGAAAGGTGTCCTAATAAGTAATAATTCAATGTAATGGGAAAAAAATCAGAGAACTTGGGTTCAAATCTTGGCTCTGCTCTTTTCCTGAGTGACTTTGGTGAACTCATTTTCTGAAGTCACATTTGGTGAAGTCATGTCCTGAGCTTTAGTTTCTTTATCTATAAAATGCAGCCAGGTGGGTGGGTGGGAGCATGTGATTAAATTCTAAGTTCCTTGTAACTCCCAAATCCCATAAAGTACATTTGAGGACACTGGGTTCTTTTTCAGTTCTGCTTGGTGTTCTAGCAAATACATTCCCCTTGGACCCTCTTCAACCAATCTTTAAGAGTGACAAACTGTAGTCAGAAGCAAGGAAGAGAAAACCCAGGTCAGTGGTACCTTTAGCCCCCCAGTCTTCTGAGCCACCTGTATTCTCCTAGCTGGTTGCTCAGTGATTTATACGGCCACTCCATGCTCTCTCCATGAAGTAGCACTAGTCATGGATGGGTAATTCACTCCTTTTCCTGGAAGAGAAAGAAGGGGGAATTTTACTTAAATTAGTAGTTTCTTTCTGGACCTACTTTGTTTACCTCTCCCCAGTAGTAGGCCTGGTTCTTCCAGCAGCATAAAGTTCCTTCTTTTACAAAGCCATGAAGGGATAGTCAGATAATTTGAATAATTTGATTTAGAACTGAAAGAGAACAATCAGTTCCTCCAACTCTCTCTTATTTAACAAAGAAGAGAGTAAGGCCTTTGGGTAGGGGAGGGGAAAGTGACTTGCTTGAGGTAATACTTTAAGGCCTGGGCAGAGCTGAGATTGTGTTAGAAAGACAAGTATGTCAAAGATTACATGCTAATAAAGTGTGAGCTATTAATGTTTTAAAAGTGCTTTCCTCACAATAATCCTGTGGTACAAAGATTTATCTCCATTTTACAGATGAGGAACTGAGGCTCAGAAATGAAGAGATTTGCTCAAGCTCTTATAAACACTGGGCTGCTACATGCCACAGTGCATAGAGAGTCAGGCCTGAAGTCATAAAGGCTCATCTTTCTGAGTTCAAATCTAGCCTCAGACACTTACTAGCTGTGTTACTTTGGGCAAGTCAGTTAACCCTACTTGCCTCAGCTTCTTCATCTGTCAAGTGAACTACAGAAGGAAATGGCAAACCACTCCACGTATCTTTGCCAATAAAACCACAAACAGGGTCACAAAGAGTAAGACACAACTGAAAAAATGACTGAACAAACATACAACCATTGAGTTTCAGGTCCAGCATTCAAACCCAGCTTTCTTCTGACTCCAAGTTCATTGTTACAGTCTTAGGATCATAGATTGAGAGCCAGATGAGACCCCACAGGCCATTTTGTCCCCTTAGTCAGTTTACAGATGAAGAAACCAAGGCTCAGAGAGATTAAGTGACTTGCCCAGGGTCACACAGAGAGTACTTATCAGAGCTAAAATCTGAACTCCTGTATTCAGGGCTCTATGTAGCATTAGATTGTGCTACCCTCCAGTCCTAACCCTGCCAGGCTGCCAATGGGGCTGAATCCTGGAAGAAACCCACAGGAGAATCCTGCTGAGTGCTCATAGGTTCTCTAGGACTGTCCTGGTTTGTGGCTGAATTTCAGGTAACATCTGTTGTCAGCCCCAATATGCAATAAATATTATTCCACAGAAACCTGTGCCTGGAACCAGGGGGATAGTTTTGGATACGGCATAATCCTGGCTCTTATGACACTCAGTCATAAGATAAGTTAAGGCATTATTTATTTATTCAATAAGCCAGGTGCTCTGTTAGTCAGGAGATGCTAGTCAGAGAATAGAGATGCAAACTTGAGCTAAGTCACAATCCCTGCCCTCATAGAGCTTATACTCCCATTCCAGATCATCAATGCCAAGATTAATTGTAAGGGTCAGAAAGCCCTCGATACTACTAGTAGAAGTTGGCCCTATAAGGAACCATGGAATCCGGATGAGTCTTTGACTCAAACCCTCAGCTTCAGAAACTTGCTCCCTCCTTCTCCTATATTCCTTGGGATTTGTCTGAAAGACCAGAGCATCTTAAGGGCAGAAGCCCATCCAAATTTGGCTTTAGAAGCCACTTTCCCATCCCTGCTGATTCCTCCAGGGAGTAGCTGGGGAAGGGGGTGGAGGGATTCTGCTGCGTTGTGACTCTAAGACTCAGATGAGAGGAAACAGAGCATGGTCCAGGGGATCTGGAAGCAGGAGGGTACAGCAGCCCTTTTCTCAATTCCCTCTACTAGGCTACCAAATTGATGTCATTTGGAGGAAGGGCTTGAGGGAGCCAGGACAGAGCTTCACCCAGAGGTTATAATGGAAAATGAAGAAGCAGCTCTGACTAAGAACCTGCTGTGTGCTTAAACCCAGGTGCTGCCAGAGAGACACCAAATAGCCAGTTTCCATTTCTATGGCACTTTAGGATTATCCCCATTTCAAGGGGGGAGGAAACCGAGGCTCTAAAAAAAGAAAATGACTTGCCCAAGGCCACACAGGTAGTAAATATCAAAGCTAGGGCTGGAACGCAAGTTTTCTGACTCACGCCATTTTCCCTCCATAAAGTCTCCCTACTTAGGGTTACACTACACACATAGATTAAGACAAATAAAGTATATGTGTGTGTATGTTTGTGTGTGTACATACACGCACACACAACACATGCAAAGAATGTGTATACAAATGGCATTTATGTAGCACCTTGTAGTTTACAAATTTCTCTACATTGTGTCTCTGGTCCCTTAGAGACCCTCGTGAGGCATCCTCACTTCCCACACCTAGTAAATGGCAGAGAATTCAAGCCTCTGAATCAGGTGCACACAGAGACCCACACTCCCTGTGGTGTCATCAAAATCACAAAGCCAATAGCAATAGAGAAAAGGGTAGATTCATTATTTGGAATCTAGGAAGACTTCTTGGAGATGGTGAATTTTGAACTGGGCTTTGAAGGAACGGGAGAATACAGGACATTGTTCTGGTCATTCATTTCTAACCATGCTCTCGCTAGGCAGCTCAGATCCTAACCACAAAATACCAACCCAAACTGTCCAGTGGGGATGAGGGACCTTGGGAAAATGAGGGCCTCAAGGGAAGGGAAGAAGGTGAGATTGTCCCAGGCTGCCCTCTTTTGAGTCACCCTTGAGTACCTGCCCCCAATAGTTGACTGCCTACCTGTGAGGCCCTCTGTCTTGTCCCTCCTCCTTCTTACATCCCCATCCCCCAACAGGGTCTGCTTGGGGAAGCTCCAAAGTTCACATCTAGGACTAACTGCTGCCTCTGCCCCCAAAATAGACTTGCCTGTGAAGAGACATGTTGTTCCAAGGCCGTGAAGAGGCATCAGAAAGTCCCAGCCTACTCTGGATGTCCTTGCCTTGCCCTGAGACTGATGAGGAAGAGGCAGTGTGGTATAGTGGGACCACTCCCTGTAGAGTCAAAGGGCCTGGGTTCTGAACCCACCTCCAGTTATTTCTCTCTTCTGGGCCCCAATTTCTTCTGTAAAATAAGGGCAATCAAAGATCTTTTCCATATTCCCCATCTTACCTTCCTACCAACCCAGTTCAAGGCACCACAGAGCCTAAGAATCTAGAGACCTGACTTTGAGCCCATGTATCCTTGGCCAAGTCACTTTATTGCTCTATCTCCCTCTGTTTCCTTATCTAGAAAATGAGGGCATTATCCTAGATCAGAGGTCCTTAACCTTTTTTTGTATGATGGACCCCTTTGACAGTCTGGTGAAACCTATAGACTCTCAAAAAATTTTTAAATGTAAAAAATAAATTTATAGTGAATTTATGACTATATATACTTATATATGGTATAATAGATATATATATATATATATATATATATATTTGTAATGTATTATTCTAGTGAAATACAACTATCAAAAAACATTTTTTAAACAAGTTCATGGACCTCAAGTTAAGAATTCCTGCCCTCAGGGGGCAGGTAGGTGGCACAGTGGATGAGAACTCCAGCCTTGGAGTTAGCAGGACCTGAGTTCAAGTGTGACCTCAGATACTTGACACTAGCTGTGTGACCCTGTGCAAGTCACTTAACCCCCATTGACTAAGCAAAAAAAAAAAAAAGAATTCCTACCCTCAATGATTTCTAATCTGTTTTTCAGCTCTGACATTGTATATCTGTGACTTTGCGTGACAGGACACTGTCAAGGAGGATGGACTAGCAAAGGGCACTGTGATATAGTAAAAGTATGGGAGAATCTGGAGCTTGGCCTAATTCTCTTTTTAATTTTGTGTGTCCTTAGACAAGTCATTTAATTTCTCTAGACCTCAGTTTCCTCATCTATGAAATGGAGATGACACCAGTCCTGTATTCCCTGTACTGGTATCACTGTTGTTAAGACTAGTACAGCAGCCTCTAGATCCATTGAGAATTTAAGCTTTGGTTACAGGGCACATAAAAGTCTGAGAGAAAAATACCCTAAGGTGGTGAAATGATTTATCCAAGGCAAAGTCAAAATTCTAACCCACGTTTTCTGACTCAGTGCTTGGATGCCAAACGTCAAGGATACAGAGATCTGTCCTGGGCATTCTGGCTCTAGTGGGACACGCATCCCTGTACCCTGACTACATATGATCAACAATTTAAGGGGATCAAAGAGAAATAAATCTGGAAGGAGCTTCCAGCCTAAAGGATAAAGGGAAAACCCAAGGTCTCACAGGTAGTAAGCATCAGAGGCAGGATTTCAACCAATTCCTCTAACTCCCAATTAGGAATTCTTTCCTTTGTACAACTCTGGATCCCTAGTCCAACCCCCTTCATTTTACAGATGATAAAAATAAGGCCCAGAGAGAGAGAGAGAGAGAGAGAGAGAGAGAGAGAGAGGAAATGACTTTCCCAATGTCACACAGTAAGTCAGGAAGAGAGCCTCAGCTTGAACCCAGGTTTGATAATAAATCCTGTGTTCTATCCACTATTCCACAATGACTTTATTTGGGTCAAATCCATTGGGCACCTTGGGGCAGATAGACTCTTGTGCCCCTGGGGTGGGGTTTCAAGCTAGCTAATAATCATCTAAGGCTTCCTTTCTTCTTCCTCTCCCCTTACCCATGTTGTTCTATCACAGGGCAGTCGACGGGACTTTGGAGGCAGCTGTCTGAAGGCAAGAGGGGCAGCCCCACTTCGGGTGCCAAGGAGATGATCCTGGAGTCCCCTCCCTGAAGTGTTCATTCCACATGGTGGTCCCAGATTCCTGGAGAGAGGGTCGAAGGACAGAGCGGGGAGGAAAGGAGCCTCGCTGGCCTGTGCTGGCCAGACCAGGAGGAGACTAAGGGTCCCAGAGCTATGCTACCTGTGCAGGCTAAGAGACTGGGTGGGAATGTTAGTGCTTGGGCTGGGGGGTAGGCTGGATCTCCTCTCTGACGGTCTCAAGGCTCTGGCCTAACTCCCAGAGAGTCCTAACTACACCAGTCCTCACTGGTCAGAGACAATGCAGAACTCTAAGAATTAAGTCTATTGGGGTGTGGGGGGTGCATATGTAGGTCAGAGTGTGTGTGTGTGTGTGTGTGTGTGTGTGTGTGTGTGTGTGTGTGATGGGAAATGTTTATGGAATATCTAGGCATGTGTGTTCAGGTTTGAAATAAAAGTTATTTTTGATCTTCTGGCCTGTGTCCTATTCCCAGGTCAGGAGAGGAGGTCCTTGCAGACTTACCACCTGCTGGTTAAGGGCTCAGCTAGCCTTCTAAGAACCAACTAGAACTCACAAACTAGAGAAAACCTAGAATCATTTAACAGAAAAAAGGAAACTGAGGCTCAGATGGCAAATGGAATTTGTCACCCTGTAAGGAAGGAGTAAGAGCTACCATGGCCCTATAGGGAGGTACCCGCTGGCTTTCCCTCTGGCTCCATCTGAGACCAAGGGCTTGGATCTAATGAACTAGATGAAAGATGCTCCCGTCAGAATAGTAAAGGAGTTAAGAATACAAACAGAGAAGGGGAAAAGCTATAGAAGTATAGACTGTCAGAACTAGAAGGAACCTTAGAGACCATCTAGTCCAGGAGTGGGGTACCTACAGCCTCCAGGCCACATGTGGCCTTCTAGGTCCTTGGGTGTGGCCTTCTGACTGAGTCCAAATTTTACAGAACAAATCCTTTTATTAAGGTGAGGCCACATGTGCCCTCGAGGCCGCAGGTCCCCCATCCCTGATCTAATCCAGTCGCCTCATCCTACAGAGAAGGAAGCAAGCTCAGAGAGGAGGAACCAATTACTCAAGGTCCGAGGTCAAGTTAATGGTGCTCTTTATACCAGGCATTTGCCACACTGGCTGAGGGGCCTGATTTCTCAGCATGGGGAAAAGTTAAATTGAGGAGTAATTGAGGGGTACCCTTTCAAATAGGGGCTAATATGTCCTGATACTTTGGCTCAGATTTGCTCTGAAATTTGGGAGCTGTTATCTAAAATCTGTGGGCCTCATTTCCTACTTGTTCTAGGGGGAATTGCCTTTCATATGTCCTAGCCTGGCCAGGTCCTCAGCCCTCAGCTAATTATGAAAGTACATTGCCCTCCAAATTCTTTATTCTATCTAATTAGGCCCATTAAAATAAAAAAAAATGTTTGGAGAGAAAACTTTCTGGGCCTAGAGTTATAAATCAATATGCTGTGTGACTTCAGGAAAATTGCTTGTCTTCTCTGAGCCTTCATTTTCCCATACCCAAAGTAAAGATAGGTTGTTTTGGTTAATTTAAACAAGCCCTTCCAAGTTCTAAAGTGTTAAGAGTTTCTTTAAAAATTCATAATCTCCCCTACCCCCACCTCCACTCCCCTAACATTGGAAGAGGCTCTGCCTGAGGCTGGGAATTATCGGGGTCAGGCCCCAGTTCACATGACTGGAACAGGCACAGCTGTGGACCAGGCACCTCTGGGAGCTGTTTTCCCAACCCCACTGTTCTTCCTTGTACAGCAGGGGCCCCCCTCTCCAGCCTCTAGGAGTGGCCAGCATTGTCCTGCTTGGGTTGGGAGCCTGAGTAGAGATGTCCCTGCCTGAGCAGGAAGTGAAACAGGAATTGGGGGGATGGGGAACCCAGGTGAGAAAAAGGGACATCAGAACCCCATGGCATGATGAAATTAAAATAATCAGCTCAGCCTCTTTCACTTTTCCCCCCAACCCCCATCACTGAGGGAGGGATAAGAATTTCAGATTGATCTCTATCCAAACCAAACCTCAACTCCCCACTAAGGTCCAGCCCTGAGAACTAGGCATCTTGTTTGAGATGGGGGTCTAGCCTCTCCAACTCTATTCCATACTCCAGCTGTGATTTATGTTACCTTGACCTCAGCACAGCTGGTGCTCCAATGGGCCTGGCTGGCCAAGGTGGCGGGGAAGTAGCCTTTGGTTCTCAGCGTATCTAATCTGTACCAGACCTGCTTAATTCTCTACAACCTCTGAGGACACTGAGGGGCCCTGGGACCCGGGCTCCCAGGAGACTAGGGTTGTAAGGCAGAGGGGTAGGGCCTGGAAACATAGGCACAGGCCAAGACTGAGGAAGGAGGGAGGTAGTGGGGAGAGGGTGGGAACTGACTATGAGTTGGGCTTCTGGACAGTTTGGGAGAATGGAGAGGGGGGCTAGGGATAGAGGCCAATGGCATCTCTTGGGACCTGGTATTGGCTGGGATACATATTCTTATCCTAGAAAACTGGGAGGCAATAGAGAACTGGATTTAGAGTCAGACAACTTGAATTTGAATCTGACTCTGTAACTTATTATGTGACCTTGGGCAAGTTACTTAACAGGATCATAGGTTCATCCATTTAGAATTGGAAGAAATCTCAGAAATTTTCTAGTTCAACTCCCTCATTTTACAGATGAGGAAACAAGCCCAAATTCTTGTCACACAGGTGTTAAATAGCAGTCCTGGGATTTGAACCTGCCCCTCTCACACCAAATTCAGCCTTCTTTCCACTGTGATACATTGCCTCCATTTTCTCTGGGCCTCCATTTCTTCACTTGGAATATGAGGGGTTAGAGCAGATGCTCTCCAAGGTGCCTCCTAGCCCTCAATAAAATGAACAAAAGTTCCTGAAGCTAGGGGCAGAAATGATGTCCCCGGGTCCACATAGGCACTTTGTTCCCCTTTCTTTGATGTGTCAATAAATGTTAGAACTCTTCGATTGAAATATAGAATGACAACTGGAAGCACCTTGGAAATCATCCAGGCCAGCCTTCTTGTTTTAATGATTTTTTTTTCTGTTTTTAAATCCTTCAATTTTGTTTTTAATGTTTTATTGATTTTGATTTTTATGTCACATTCCTTTCTGAATATAACCCTTCTACCTCCTCTACCTAACAAACTTCTCTTGTGCCAAATATTTTTAAAAGTTGAGAAAAATCAACTGATGCATGGACTGACTTTGACAGCATATGCAATATTGCATGCCTACAGTCTCCCTCATACTCCCCACCCTACCCCACCTCCCCCAGGGAAAAGAGGGAGATACATTTTCTCATTTTTTCTCTGAGAAAACATATCTACCTCTTTTCACTGGCATCAAGTTTGGTCATTGTAATTACACAGAGTTCAGTTTTGTTTTATTCTTTCCATTTACATTTTTGTAGTCGTAGGGTATGCATTTTCCTTATGCCTACTTTACCTTACAATAATTCTTATGTCTTCCAATGCTGCTCTGAATTCTTTCTGTTCTTTGCTTCTTACAGTGTAATAATATTCTCTTACATTCACAGATCACAATTTGTTCAGCCGTTCTCCAAATGAAGGGCCAATCTCCTCATTTTGCAATTAGAGAAATTGAGGCTTAAGAGAGGGAATGACTTACCCAAAGTCACAGAGATAGACATATCAGATCTTCATATCTAAGCTCATGTCTTTTGATTCCCAAGTCCAAGGCCCTTTCCCCTACAAAATCCTGGGAAGGTAGGGTTAACCAAGTAGCAGAGAAGCAACAATAGCTATCTATCTCTTTCCAGTTGAACTCAATGTGTCATTCATTCAACACACCTCTATTAATGTTTTTGGTCCAGGGGTGGAAAGAAGAGAAGTAAATAAGATCTAATCTCTGATCTCCAGGAGCTTATTAATGGCCCTGATGCTTCTCCCTGAGATGCAATCATTTCAAGAGATATCCTTCTCCTCCTCCTACAGTGTTTTTGTTATCTTCACTCTTCCCTTCCCCCATTCTCTGTAAGGCAGGAGGCTTCATCTTTGCCAAGTATTATGAACATGTAGTAGCCTCTCCAATCTGCATAGCCAAATCTTTACTTACAGCCACACATGTGGACATATGTACATGTATAGATATGTACTTGTCCATATGCAGACACACATGCATATACCAAACATGCAAACAACTTCACCACTGCGAGAGACCCTAGATACTATTTTATTAGCCCACCTCCATTTCCAAAGAATGAAACAGCCTCAGAGAGGGGAAAGGACTTGCCAGAGGACAGAGTATTGAATAGCAGAGACAGGACCCAAACCCATAACTCCTGACTCCCAATCCAGAGCACAGAAAGTCAGAGCTAGAAGGTACCTTAGAATATGGACATCTATTAGAATTGGCTGGGGCCTTAGCATATAGAATGTCAGCAGGAAGGGACCTTAGACCATAGGATGACAGGGCTAGAAGGGAACTTAGTGACCATTTAGTCCCATCTCTTTATTTTAGCAATGGGAAAGCAGGCCCAGGAATGGGAAGTGATCCATCCATGGGCACAGAATGAATTACAAATAACTTAGAAATATAGCTATTGGTAGTGACTGGTTCACTGTTGGAACTCAGTAAATGTTTAGAATTGAGTCCTTGGCTGGACTGGGATCATTTAGGCACAGAAACTGCAGGGGGGGGGGGGTGGCCCAGCCCAGCTGCCCCAGGTTAAGTGGGAAAGTGCTGACCAGCCACAGAACTTCGTGGGAATATCTGCTCCCATCACACCCCTCCCCCAGCCTCAGTCCCAGCTGGCCAGCCCCTTCCCAGTCACTAAGGGATTCCCAATGACCCAAGAGCCACAGGGCACCCAGCAGCCCCAGGGTTAAAGAGAAGCCCAGTGTTTACAGTGGTAACGGGTCTGTGTGTAGTCTCTTGCCTCCCAACAGCCATCTCAGCTGTCCGGCAGTCTGGCTGTGTCCTCCCCTCCCCCCATCACTGTTTGGAACACCAACTTCCCATCTTCATGTGTCTCCGTTCCTGGGCTGGGGCCCTTTTCCCTGCTTCTTTTTCTTTCCATCAACCCCAACTTTATCCTCAGACACCCTCAAAATAGCCTTTGATTTCCGTCCTTCTGTCCATTGTGTCCCGTATTCCCACTGCCTCTCCCTGCTGGGCTCTGACCTTCCTGAGCTTCCCCCTTTCCCTCAAGCTCTACTCTCAAACAACCTCATTGTGGCCCTCAGATATTTGTCCTACTGCCGTCTCTCCTTCTGTCTTCCCTGGCTTTCCTGCCACAGCTAGGGCCCTTCTCCCTCCTACCCCTCCCCCTGCCCAGGCCTACTCTCTGAAATGTTCAGCCACTGTCCTCTCCCCACCCCCACCCCCTGCCCCTGGGCCTCCCCAACCTAAACTGGGGCTGGGGCCTTCCTCTCCTCCCTTTCCCCCCAACTCAGCTCCCAGACACCCTCATCATGGCCCTGGGCTGCTTTCTCTGA